AAAAGTTGGGCTTGGGTCTAAACTTGTGTATGTGCATGTGTTGGACTTAGTCTTGGGTATGGGCTATGTGCTATACTGGATTGGGCTTGTCTTGTGCATATATTTTAGAATGGGTGTGGATCGGGTTTTGACCCAATACCCATATCTATTTTGTGACCCATCTAGTTAGATTATTTAAATAGCATTATATATATATATATATAATGTTTATTTATTTAATATTTGTAACTCTCATCTTTTGATGACAGAGTTGATGATCATTATGCACATGGGAGTTTTGCACCTTTGTAACTTTAGCCCTAAAAACTAGAGTTGATGGCCATTGATGTTAGGTTTTATGGTAACCTTCATGGCCAAAATCTCTTCCCTACAAGTATGAAAAAGACATTTCCCCTCCAACTTAGAAGAAGAGTTTTGAGAGATTTTTGATGAAAAATGGAGATATTTTTTTGAGATATAAAGAGTTGGAGATAGTTTTTACACAAATTTTTTTTTCTTCTTATTTTTTGCTAGTCCCTTCTTTGGTTTTTGTTAGAGAGAGTACAACCATTATCAAGTTCGCCAAAGTTAATAGAAGGTGCTTTTGTGTTAGCACGGTCTAAACCGTTGTATCTTGGGAGACAAAAGTCAACGTTCCTCTAGCACCCATGGTGAGGTGGTTAATCTGTTTTAAGGAAACTGCGGTATTACACAGGTTTCAGTTTGCTTTCTTTACCTTTTATCGTATTGCGTATTTCTATGATTATAATATTTAACATGTTTTCTTATTCTATTATATAATTTGATTAATCATGAATTTATTTATCTTGTTTAATTACACAATTTGCACAACAATAAATTCTTTACTTACTCAGATAGTACCGCAGAGTCACTTAACATATTATTGTAGTAAGCCATGTTTTAAGTTTTTATATTACATTAATGCATGTGAGTAATTGTTATTTATTTTTTGGGTCAGATTTATATTATAATAATAATAACGTTTTCTTCATAAGGGGTCCGACCCGGTCCAGTCCGGGTGGGAACAATAGACAAGTCTACAGAGATGAGCAGTCAGACCGCGTGCCACGTCAGGTCAAAGTAGTCAAAAACCAGCACGAGTGTCCAAAAAAACCAGCCCACGTCAGCGACTCAGCTGAACAAACCCCATCACGTTCATGTCACGTGATCGTCATCCATCGAAAACACGCCGGGGCTAGAATGCGCCTCTGCTGTCCTCACAACAAAGCACTAGTCATTAAACTATGCACTCATACTCTCGTTTGGAGCGCGTGTGTTTCCATATCCTCAGGCTTTCTCCTTTAATAGAAGCAAATAATTTATAAAAGATTATTTATGAGAAGTACAAGTTTGCTCTACTCTAGTCACTTCCAAAATTATTTTGAGAAAATTGTTAAAAATCGATTTTTTAATTTTTTTGACTATTTTTGAAAAAAATGTGTAAAAATTATGAGAGATAATTTTATCCAAAATCGATTAAAAGCTAGAAGATGATTTTTAATCATCTTTCTAAAATATCCCATAACAAAATACTTATATCTAAAATATCACTTTTAAATTAAGTGCATATATAGGAATTTTTTTTTATGACTTTTTTAGTTAATGTATTTGAAAAATTATTAAAAATTTTATTTTTTTATATAAAAAATTGAGGTGCATTTAAGTTTTTTTTAACTAAAAGCAAACTTTTATGAAGTGTTCTAAATAGTGTCCAAATTTTAATAATGACGACGGTTGTAAATTAAGGCCTAGTTTGGGAAAACTAAATAAGTGTACTTTTTGACTTTTTATGAAATATGGATTGGGTTTAGGTTGGGTTTGAAGTGATGTATTAGAGAGGTGATGTGACTTAAATAAGATGATGTAACTTAAATAGGATAGTGACTTTTTGACTTTTTTTCTTTTTTCAATCATGCCAAACTTGGCCTAATTATTAATTTATTCAATAATCATCTAATTAGAATTCAATTCCTTATCATATCAAAAAATTGAGGTGCATTTAAGTTTTTTTAACTAAAAGCAAACTTTTATGAAGTGTTCTAAATAGTGTCCAAATTTTAATAATGAAGACGGTTGTAAATTAATTATTAATTTATTCAATAATCATCTAATTAGAATTCAATTCCTTATCATATCAATGTTATTAAATTTAAAAATAAAGCTTTAATGTTGTGTTTGGTTGAAGGATTTGAGGAGGTATTTGGAAAGAAAAATGAAAAAGATAGGTGAAATTTGAAAAAAATATACCTATATTTCACATAATTTCATACACTTTTTCCCTTTTCCTTTCCAAATCTCTCCCAAAATCTCCCAACCAAACACAACATAAGAGTATCTAGTATTACTTAAAAGCAGATAGGTCTCTTTTGATTGCACATTTAATTAATTTCTTTGAAAACATGATTAATGGGTTTTGTCATTGTAATTAAAATTTACTTATTTAAGTTTATTTGAACCAAAAAATAGATTTTTTATGATACAACTTATAAATTTTCTTTTATTTATTTGAAACTTTTAAATAAGTATGGACAAAAGTGCTTCAACTCAATTATAATTTTTTTAGTATATTCTAAATATTTGTAAATAAAAAACTATGTGACTGTTTATTTAATTAAATAGATTCAACATTTTTTTATAATTTTTTAAAAATTACATAAAATAGATTTATAATTACTTTACACTTTACCCTTTATGTTTGGCCATTTTTCCACCATGGTCATTGAATTTTTATTTTTATTTTTCACTTTGACTCTTAAAATTTAATATATTTTTCAATTTACTCTAAAAGTTAACTTGTAGTGTTCAAAATTAAAAAGAAAAATGATACATTAACAATCATATAACATAAAATATTTTATTATATATAACACATACCTTACATAAACTCAAATCTTAATATAATACTATATTTCTACGTCATTCGACAGCTAACGTAACACTTTCAGTCTAATTTTAAATGAAAATGATTCATCAACCGAATTTGAGCATGATTGAATTGTCCAAATTACATAAGCTAGATGTCTGATTGGGCGACTGTCCAGAAGACTGGTGTCACTCTTGTCAATTGCGGTTGTCATTTTTGTCTATCGGTGCGTCAACTAACATCCGCCTGACGATCGGCTAGACGACTGACATGCACAAATTAGAGCAATTAAACAAATCCAAATTCAATGGATGTAGCAATACTCGAATTTTAAATACAACTTAATTGTAAGAGTAAGGGTTGTTTTGAGAAATTGATTAAAAGCTAACTATTTAGTTTTTTTTTTCTCTTTTTGAAAAAATATGTAAAAATGTAGAGAAATTATGTGATTCAAAATAAGTTAAAAACTGACTTTTGACTTTTAGTCATTTTTCCAACCGAGGCCTAAGTTGGAAAATTGAAACATAAAAAAGTCTCTTATCCTAGGGCCCGTTTGTTTTGGGAGATGGAGGAAGAAATGAGATTGAGATGGAGGTGGTACCTACTAATATTGTGTTTGTTTTTGGAGATGGAGGGGGGATTCATAAGCCTTTCAGATTAAGATGGGCCTTGGATGTTGGGATTAAAAATGGAGGTCAAAGACTTGGTATTAGAAAATTAGTCTCTCGCTTAGTTTTTTTTTTTAACATGTTGGGCATTTTTTTAACATTAATATTTAATGTTTTTGTATTTTTTGTTAAGTAAAAAATATAATTTTATTTGTTTTATTATTTTATATTTATTTTATATAAAAATAATTTAACAATTCTCACACTAACAACTATTATCAAAACAAATATAATTTCACTTAATTCATTTACTATCAATTCTCTAATTAATAATTCTCTTACTATTAACTAGGGGTGAGCAGCGGATATACCGATCCGCCAAAACCGACCGAACCGAACCGATTCGCCGCATTTTGGACGGATGCGTGATGACGAGCGAACGGTTGCGGATTGATTTTCTCAAATCCGTCAATTTGGCGGACGGATGGCGGATTTGAGATTTTTTGGTCGCAACCGAACCGCCAAACCGCCAAATCGCGAGCACCCCCAGTAATTTATAAGACTTTGTATTTTCAATTTGTTTAAATATTATGTTTGTGTTTTCAATTGAAAAAGATTTTCAAAAACATATGTAGATGTAACAATACAGAGACATTCAATCTCTACTACTGCTCTGTTCATCGTTTTGGTGGTTTGAATTGTTATTATATTTTAAGAATCACAGATTGTAATACTTTATGGGGATGAATCATGCTGTGATTGTAATATATGGATGAGGCATGCAGTGATCGTGATATTTTAAAGTTTCAAACTTTTTTTCTTTGGATAAGGCATACAGTGATTGTAATACTTTTTTAAGTCATTGACTGTAATACTTTCTTTTTCTTTTTTTTCTTTTTTTTTGTTTGAGGAAGTGCACAAATTGAATTATGTTGAAAATTTATATAATTTTAAACCGCCAAACCGATTCGCATCCATCCGTCAAACCGCCAATCCGCTCAATCCACATCCGCCGAATTGGCGGACGGATGCAGATTAATTTTCTTCAATCCGTCAATCTGACAGACGAATGGCGGATTGGAGGTTCCGTGGCCGCAACCGACCCGCGCTCACCCCTACTATTAACCTTTCCACTGTCAATTTCTTTTATTTTACTTTTGAAAACAAACTGCTGCCAGAGCCTGCCTGGGGTTCTCTACTAAAAGCGCGTGGGTTCTCATAAGCCAGCCCAAAAGGTATATTTTGATAATTAAAAAAAAAAAATCTTATTAATTTATTTAAATCATATCATTATTTTATTCTATTTTTTCACATTTTATAAAAAAAGAGCCACTTCCTACGATGAGGCAAAAAAGCTGAAAGAGCGAAGAATGTTCTCACCACCTTTGGTCGGTTGCAACCGCCGTTAAAATTATCGTCAGCGCTTCCGTCTAACACGTCCAACCAACAACTTACGAGTCTCAAAAACCCAGAATTGCCGTTACCGTACGTTCCTACCGTCAATTCTCTTTCTCTGTCTCTCCTCTCTCTTTCTCTCTTCTTCCTCTATATATATTGCTCGAATCTAAGCTATTTGTCTTTAGATTCTTCGTTTAATACACAGCTTTTGCACACCATTACAGCAATACAAAACTTTTTTATAAATCAATTTCATATATATCGTTAGAGACCCAGATCAGAAATTCGAATTTCAGGTACATATACTTCTCTTCAATCTCTCTGTGTAAAATCTATAGTAGTTGTGTTTCAATTTGCGATTAAGAATTTGGGTTTGGTTGGAAATTATTTGTTTTTGCTCGACTTGTTTGGTTGCTGGGAAAATTGAAGAAAAGATAAAAAGAAATTAAACTTTTTTTTATTTTCTTGGTTTTCATTTGCTGATTTTGAATATGAAAAATTCACTTAAAATTAGTCAAAGATTTGAATTTGGCAAGTTGAATAAAGACTTTTCGTTTCTTGGGTTCCAAACAATGAAGTTTCTTAGTTTTTCAGGATCTCCTTTTTGTTTTCCTGCATTTTCTTTGCACCCAAACAGAGGTCTTGTGAGAATGTGATGGTAGGTAGAAGAAGGATGCGAAATTTAATAGATTTTTTTTTTTTGAACTTATATAAAAAGAGAGACTTTTCTTAGGTCTTAAAGAATGAAAATTCTTTTTTCAGGATGTTTTCTCTTTTCCTGCATTTTCATCGCATCCAAACAGCAAGGTCTTGTGAGAATAGATGGTAGGTAATTACCCAAAAAATAGATGGTAGGTGTAGAAGAAGGTTGCGAAGTTCATATTGACAAGTTCAATAGAGACTTTTTTGTTTTACTTATATATATATATATATATATAAAAGATTTTTCATTTCTTGTGCCTCAAACAATGAAATTTCTTAGTTTTTAAGGATGTTTTTCTCTTTTCCTGCATTTGCACCCAAACAGAATAGGGTCTTGTGAGAATGAGATGGTGCTAGATAGCTGAAGGTTTTTGCTGAATTTATACTGTCTGTTATTACATACGTCTACAGGTCGAATCAAAATAAAATACTCTTCTTGATGGGTGTGATTTTTGTTCTTGGTTTCATTTTTTTTGGGTTTTTATTGAATGATTGGGGTTGAAATGTGATTAATTTGAATTTATATGTAGCCTTTTCTTTTGGGTTTAGACATTACAGGCTATTGTGCAAAGATATAAATGATAAATGAAGAGTACAACCAAATAAAATAAATAATTTCTAAAATTTTGTTGTGATTGTCTTCAATTTTATGTTGCTGTTTTTAGCGCAACGAAGAAACATTTAGTTTGCAAAATTTTATTCTGCTTTTTGATCTTTTACTTATTCGGTTTTTATACATTTTTGTTTTTGTAAGTTTAATTCTTCTTCTGTTACGGGGAGAGTTTTGTTTCCTCATTTTATTAATTAATTAATTTTTTGAGTTCATATGGAAGGATCTGTGGAAAAAGATTCTTGGATGTTGTGTATAGGGAATGCAATTAAAAAATTTGGGTTTGGTCTTCTTTCGTTTCAAAATTTGATATTAAAAAAAAATTATATTATTTTGACTCAAAGAGCCGTGTGAAGTTGGATGGAAATTTTAGTTGGTTGACCTTTTCTTAGTTGTATATATTCTTTATAATAAAGAATTATCATGGAAATAAAAGTTAGTTTCAAACCGCTTTAGTTTGATTAAGAAATAGTTATTTGAAGATACTGAACTCCTTTCATGAGAACCCGATGTGTTTGTTGTGCTAAGCCAAAGATATGGTTTAAGTCTGGAAGGGCATGGACGTACGATTTCTTTAGTGCACCGAATATAAATCAGAATAGTTTGATGAAAATAATGTGAAAGGGAAATTGATCCATAGATGGTGGACGAACATTGTTGTAGTTTCTTTGAGAGTTAAGAGTGAATCCAAAGTCCATACCATTCTGTTATTTCGTTCCTAGTATTGTGTAATTTATGGATCTCTGAACTTCAGTATCTTGTTCTGTTTTCATTTTTGTTTTCTTCTTATGCATGCGTGAGTGGGTGTTTTCCCGGTTTCCTTTTTCCAATTTGTATAATGTCAAGATCTGGGAATGTGGTCCAATGTCGATTTTAAAGGTTCTTCATACTTTCTACTGATTCACGACATGTCAATTTTTGTATGGCATTATGCTATTGATTGTTTATATGTGTGTTTTGATTTCCCTCGAAGAAAATCCGATCGGTTTGTTTGTTTTATATGAGAAATACAGTAACATTATCAAGTATCATCATTGCAGGTTGTTTAAAGATTGAGAATTTCTGTTTTCAAGCCAAAGATTACAGAGTTAGCTGCCTGCGAAAACTGTTTCCTGAAATCAGTTATTACAATTTTTGAGAATAATGATTGTATCGAACAGCTGATTCAAGCTTTGTAGCATGGACTCGCGCCAGTTCTTTGGATACGGTGTGACTGGTGCAGCAGACTTATCATCCTACTCTTCTCATCCCACTGTTCCATCAATACCCACCACGCTCTTTGATTCCTTGAAATTTGATTTACGGAGCTCACATTTCTCCCCTCGGTTTCATTCTGAGACCCATTCCACGGTGAGTGACAGTCCGGATCATCACAGCTCCACAGATAATCTCTCTGGGGCAAGCCCATCCTGTAACTCGTCACTTGAAATCAGCAGTCGTTTCCAGCAGTTGAGTCCTTCTCTGGACTCCCGCCAAGATAGTCTACAGTTTCGTTTTGGCGAATCGTTGTTTTTCCATAATGAAAACCGTGGTCACAACGTAAATTACGCTCTGCAGGAATTGGAGACGGCTCTGATGGGGCCTGATGACAATGAAGAAGAAACAACCCCGACTCCTTCTTTTGGGAAAAATAAACAGCCACAAACACGTGCGACCCAATCCCAACCATCCAATGTGGAGAGGCCTGACAAAGCCATGGAAGAAGCTGCTTTTCAAAGTATACCACCGGGCAATTTGAAGGAGTTACTGATCGAGTGTGCTAAAGCGCTTTCTGAAAACAAATTAGAAGATTTCAAGAAACTGATTGAAATGGCTCGGAGCGCTGTGTCGATCAGTGGAGAGCCGATCCAGCGGCTCGGTGCTTATATGGTTGAAGGGTTGGTAGCAAGGAAAGAGGCGTCGGGAAATAACATATACCGGACTCTCCAGTGCAAAGAGCCTGAAGGAAAGGATTTGCTTTCATACATGCAAATACTTTATGAAATCTGCCCTTACTTGAAGTTTGGTTACATGGCCGCCAACGGGGCAATCGCCGATGCGTGTAGGACCGAGGACCGCATCCACATCATCGACTACCAAATTGCTCAGGGGACCCAATGGATGACTCTCTTACAAGCTCTCGCTGCGAGGCCCAGTGGGGCACCTCATGTGCGAATCACGGGAATCGATGACCCGGTTTCCAAATATGCCCGTGGAGATGGTTTACAAGCGGTAGAGAGACTTTTAGCTGCAATATCTGGGAAATTCAATATCCCGGTTGAGTTTCATCCGGTGCCAGTTTTTGCTCCAGACGTCACGAGGGATATGCTCGACATAAGGCCTGGGGAGGCATTGGTGGTGAATTTCCCTCTCCAACTCCATCACACACCCGATGAGAGTGTTGACGTGAGAAATCCCAGAGACGGGCTTCTCAGAATGGTGAAATCGCTTTCTCCCAAAGTTGTCACTTTAATCGAGCAAGAATCGAACACGAATACCGCTCCTTTTTTGTCTAGATTCATTGAAGCGCTTGAGTTCTACTCCGCGATGTTCGAGTCTATAGACATGACAATGCCGAGGGACAGGAAAGAGCGGATTAATGTCGAGCAGCATTGTTTGGCCAGGGATATCGTGAACATTATTGCGTGTGAGGGGAAGGAGAGAGTGGAGCGGCATGAGCTGTTAGGAAAGTGGAAGTCACGGTTCACTATGGCGGGGTTTCGGCAGTACCCTCTGAGCTCTTATGTAAACTCTGTGATAAGGGCATTGATGAGGTGTTACTCGGAACATTATACGTTGGTGGAGACGGATGGAGCTATGTTGTTGGGGTGGAAGGACCGGAACCTTGTCTCGGCGTCTGCTTGGCATTGTGCATAAAAATTGGTGGTGGCGGTGAGGGGGGTGGGTGGTGATTGTTACAGGCATAGAAGTAGTAATAGAAAATAACCAGTTTGTAGTTTTCAGGTTATGACTATTGGGTATTTTCCATGACATTGTATTGTGATGACATTTTGTATCTATGCCTATTGTTTTGTTAGTTCATATTGTCTATTGTTTGCATTTTTTATTTATTTATATTTTGCGAGTATGAGATAAAAGTAGATTAAATAAGTTAAATAATATATATTATTTTAAATTTGAGAGAATAGTAATTTTAATTTTAATTTTTTGATTATTAATTATTAATTTGTAAAAAAATTATACTGAATGGACTTAAAAGAGCTTAACCCAACAGTTGTGACAGTAGTAGTGCAATCTTTGGATGGATGAATCACAAAGAATAATTTGGCTTATTTTTCATTTATTATTTAGTTATACTTAGTTTTCCTTAAAAAGAAAGAAAGAAAAAAAATAGTAATGATAGAGATTCCTACAAAACACAACCTCCACAACTCCCAAAATGATCTGAACCATTCATGTTACTGTCAGACACCACTTCCAAAAAAATTCAAACACATCAATGATCAATATATCAGTGGAAGTCGTGGGGTCCTCCTTTGTGGGGGTTCCAAACATTTTTCAAAAATATATTGTCCGGAATACGTGGGATCTTAGGCCTGTTTGTTTCACTAAATATAAAATACGGAATATATCTTGTGGGATTTTGGGAAAATTATAAATCAGTTGTACTTTTAAAAAATAATTATATACTGTACGAGAAAGAAATAATCTTATCGTATAATCCTGTTGACCAAATCTATGCTCCTCCAAACGTCGTCGCTTTACTCCCTAAAAATACAAACGTGAGTTAGCCGGCGGGTGTGTGCCAGATACCTCTCCGATGCCTAAGTCAGCAAAATAGACAAAAGCTCTGTGTATTCGAGAATCAAAGTTGTGTTACCTCTCTATAGGTAATGTTGTGACCTTTTATAGGTTCCGTGTGACACAATCCAAATAGGACTCTTACTCCTCTATGTAGAGTCCTCCTAGGAATCACCTTCCTGAAAGATAATGCTTATCCTTCAACACCCCCTACTGCTTAAACCAAGTGATATGGTTCTACCACGGTTGGATGTCAATACGACTAAGATAACATGGCCATGCTAAAGCCGCAGACTAGACTGAGCTCCCACTAGCTCGGTTCTTCCTTTCACTGCGTGGACCTTGGTTTGACATATTCCAACTGGGTTGTCTGAGACCGCACTAATCTCATCGAGCTTGGACAGAGCTAACCAATAGCAAGGTTATGAGGAAAGCTCAACACACTTCAGCTCAATATGGTATGACCGAGCTAACTGTTACCGTTTTGAGTGTGGTGACCGAGCTAACTGCAGAGCTTTCGTGGACCGGGCTAACTGCAGAGCTTTCTTGGACCTTTTCCTCAGCCCTTCTTACTGTGATCCACAGAATGGCTCATTACCCATCTCGGCCCAATTTACACATAAATTACCCTCTCATATACGTATAATTTTTTTTTATTCTTAATAATTAAAAAAAAACACTTTAACTGTTAAAAAACACAATCAATCAAAAATATATATAGAGAAATAGATGTTATTAATTAATATACATGTTAAAAAACAGTCAACATCTATTTCTCTATGTCCTTTGTTTGACATTAACTGTTTTTTCTTATAATTTTATTCATTGAGGAAGTTTTTGATATACTTTTGATTGATTCAAATTGGGCAAATAATCATGGAAATTGGTTGATAGAAATTGATTGTGATTTTCTTGAATAGAGGAATGGTTTGATGCGAATTCTATAGTGGTTAACTCATGAACAGGTTAAGATTTCCAATTTAATCTATGTATTCTATGAACTCTCTTGGCCCTAAACATGTTTGGTAAATGGTTACTTTGAATTAGGGATGTGGATTTCAATTGTGGGTTTGAATGAATTCTGGTTAGGGGCTTGATAAAACTAGCTATGTGTTACATTGGATTTTTTAGAAAATTTGAATTTGTAGGTTTTGTCCGAAAATTAGTGTGTCAGTGGCATGATTTTTCCTCTGTTACAATAAGAAACGTAGTGGTTTATTGAGTGCTATAACAAAATTATGAAAGGTTTTAACTGTGGTCAATTAATTGATGTTCATATGCCATCAAATGTTCTTGAAAATACCAACTGTTGTGTTCTTGCAAATAGGATTACTACTTGTTCAGATTATCAGATTTTGACTATGGTGATTTGAGACGGTAAAAAGCGTAAAAACTGGGCCGAGCTAGGACTGGGAAGAAACGTGCTGAGCTATGGGCTCAATAGAATGGGCTTTGTCGTTAACCTCTGTTAGCCCGGTCATGGATGACTGAAGTTAGCTCGGTTCGAGTATTCTGAACTGGGATACAAGGAGTTGCGTTGTGCAAACAAGTTGATACCGAGCTAGGTGAAGTAAGGTAGAACCCAGCTAAGGAGAGTTTGGTGAAACTGGCCATATCAGTGTGCGTTAGCCCGGTTGCTTTGTTATTCAACCGTGGTAAAACCATCTCACTTGGTTTAAGCAATGAGGAGGGTGTTGAAGGATAAGCATTATCTTTTAGGAGTGTGATTCCTAGGAGGACTCTACATTGAGGAGTAAAGTCCTACTAGGATTATGCCAGGTAAAAACTATAAAAGCTCACAACAGAACCTATGTAGAGGTAACACAACTTTCATTCGCTAATACACAGAGCTTTTGTCTATTTGTCTATTTTGCTGACTTAGGCATCAGAGAGGTATCCGGCACACACCCGCCGGCTAGCTCATGTTTGTGTTTTCAGGGAGTAAAGCGACGACGTTTGGAGGGAGCGTAAACTTGATCAACAGGATTATATGAGAAGATTATTTCGTGCTCGTACAATTGGCGCCGTCTGTGGGAATTCCACAAAGAACAAAACCTCTTGATCAAGCTTTCCTCTCTAGTCGGAAGCAATGGCGCATAATGAAGACTTGCCACAATCAGCTATTGATGGGCAAACCCCGGAGGGGGGTGGGAGGCGCGAAGGTTTGCCTTCTATCCCTCCCATGGCAGATTTAGAACCCCAGCGATAGAACCCCCGGAGGGATGCAAGGGGGAGACGAGGTGGCAGCCCCCATCGCTCTCAAAGTCTTAATAGACAGAGGCGAAGGCTAGATCCTCAAGTTTTGGAGGATCACGTAAGGGAGCAGGACGAGTTAATAAGGAGGATGGCGGCAGACATGGAGTTAATGAAACACCAGATAAAAGGGAAATGGGTGGCGATATGAGAGGGGTGCAAAGGCAACACGCCCCCCTCGCCACTCGGAGGATCATAATAGGCATACCACACCATCCCAAGCAGAAGGTAGGAGCCTTAGAACAGACGACACTCAATCAAAGACTTCCAGGACTCGTTATTCCAGGTTTGAGAGAACAAGAACTGAGAGGTCGTGCACTGAGGGAAGCATATATCGACCCTCGCGCACGCACCAGACGACATTTAGGCACACAGAGTTATCTAGATCATCTGACTTGTGAACAGTACTAGAAGAAAGGGCCCGATAGAAGGAAGACACTAGGGCTCAGACCCACGCAGAGTTTTAGCACTACAGCGATTGGCCTCTCGGACACATGGGAGTGTCGAGGTAGGAATGCCAATGCTGCGCTTGCTTACGAATTAGCGGACAAAGTATTAGCAAGGCTACAGAGCTCGCCATTCGTTCTGGCAATAGAGAATGTGCCACTACCTTTAGGCTTCCATTAGCCTAAATTTACCACTTATGAGGGGAAGACAGACCCTTACATGCACTTGAGCCACTTTTGCCAGGTTATAACAGTGTACCGGTGGAATGAGGCCCTGATGTGTATCCTGTTCCCATCCAGCCTTGGCGACCTACGTCTAACTTAGTTCGAAAGGCTACCAGAAGGCAGCATCGCCTCCTGGGCATAATTGGCAGAGGCGTTTGTGACTAGGTTCAGAACGAACACCAAGACACCAGTGGAGATTGATCAGCTACTCTCTATTGACATGGGCGACAAAGAGACGTTGAATCCTATAACAGTCGGTATTGGGAGACTTTCAACCAGATGGGAGATTGCCCCACAAATCTCGCCATCGCACAATACAAAAGAGGTTTACCAGTCGGAAACAAATTGAGGGACTCATTTACTATGACGCCACCCCTCACAATGGAGGCCCTAATAGAGAGAGTGCACCAACATATTCGCGTGGAGGAAGATAGCACTCGTGCTAAAGCAAAATCTGACACAACAGCAATGCCAGATAAAAAGACTACAACAAAAGTCAACACGGTAGAACAACCAAACAGGAATGGGCGAGGCAGGCGGGCCAACAGAGAGGACCCAGACAAAAAGAGGTTAAGAGTTCGCATTGCCATTACCACAGTGTTCAATAAACCAATCTACCGAATTCTCAGTGAGATACACAATGAACCTTTTGTCTGGTGGCCAGCTAAGTTGGGAGAAGCACAAAAACACTATGACGAGAGGTCACGGTGCACCTTCCATGATGAAAAGGGGCACCGCACAGAAAATTGCACGTCGTTGGGGTAGCATTTGGAGGAGTTAGTGGTAGCTGGGCACCTGGACCAGTATATAGAAGGAGGGACACAACCAGCCCCTCAGAATCACAATAACCCAAACGGGATGCCGGTCGACGTTCTACCTCAAGGCGTAATTAACGTAATACATGGAATTTTCAAACCTGAACGGGTATGTGAACTCAGGGGGATGATCAGAAAGACTGAGCACTTAAGGGAGGTATTAAGCACACAACCTGCCATAATAAAGGGGAGAACAGAGGCCACAAATGTCATATCTTTTTCAGACAAAGATTTAGCAAGGATATATTGCCCTTACAATGATGCACTGGTTGTCACTCTACGTGTCAAAAATTTCGACATCAAGCGGATTTTGATTGACCAAGGAAGCTCATGTGAGATAATGTATTACGAAACCTTCAAACAACTGAAACTAGAGGACAAAGACCTGGCACCTGCAACTTCTCCCCTAATCGGATTCAACTTAATGCCAGAGTGGCCAGTGGGCAAGATAATCCTCTTAGTAAAAGCAGGAACCATGGCGAAACAGGTGGAATTCTGGGTATTGAAAGTCCCTTCCACTTACAACATAATATTGGGGAGGACATGGTTGCACACCATGTGATTGG